CCCGGCCTTCCCCCTCCGCAGATGTAGCTTTTTATACCGCCCGGTGAACCTCGCTTCCTTGGGCTTCTGACACTCCGTCCTTTCCTGCCTCTCCTAGGCTGCCGCCTACTTCTTCAGGGTAAAGCCCACTCCTCCTACCCCACTGTGGGCTGTGTCCAGACGAAAATTTTTCCGGAAAATCAGCCGCTTTTCAGGAAAAACTTGCCAGCTGTCTACATTGGCCGCTTGAATTTCCGCAAAAGCACTGACTTCGCTTCCTTGGGCTTCTGACACTCCGTCCTTTCCTGCCTCTCCTAGGCTGCCGCCTACTTCTTCAGGGTAAAGCCCACTCCTCCTACCCCACTGTGGGCTGTGTCCAGACGAAAATTTTTCCGGAAAATCAGCCGCTTTTCAGGAAAAACTTGCCAGCTGTCTACATTGGCCGCTTGAATTTCCGCAAAAGCACTGACTTCCTATGGTAAGAAATCAGTGCTTTTTGCGGCAATACTATGCTGCTCCAGTTCAGATAAAAGTCCCTTTTGCACAACACTTTTGCGCAAAAGGGCCAGTGTAGACAGCCGAGATTTGTTTTCTGCAAAAACGCCCCGATCGCAAAAATGGCGAGTGGGGCTTTTTTGCGGAAAAGCGTGTCGATTGGCCACAGATGCTTTTCCGCAAAAAGTGCTTTTGCGGAAAAGCATCCGTGCCAATCTAGATGCTCTTTTCCGAAAATGCTTTTACCGGAAAACTTTTACGTTAAAAGCATTTCCGGAAAATCATGCCAGTCTAGATGTAGCCTGTGTTTTCTTTTCCTCTGCCCTCCTATTAGCGACCTCCTCGCACTGCCTCAGTTCTTCCCATGGTTTCATAAAATGTTCATTTACTTTTCCATCTCTTGTTTCTTCTTATGAATATCCCACTGTTGCCTCAAATTAAAATGGATAAGGTACTCAGAGCATGAACTCTCTCTCAAACAATCTGTCCTTTATCACTTCACAAATTCTCTTAAATCCCTCCAGTTTTGTATCATCTGCAAACTTTGTAAGTGTATTGTCTATGCCATTATTATCTAGAACTGATCCCTAAGGGACCCCACTCAATATCCTTTTTCAGTTTAAAGTGTCTTAGGCTGTGTCTACATTGGCATTATTTTGCACAAAAACATGCTGCCCGTCTACGCTGGTGGGGAGTTCTTGCGCAAGAACACTGACGTTCTAATGTGTGAAATCAGTGCTTCTTGTGCAAGAACTATGATGCTCCCACTCAGGAATAAGCCCTCTTGCGCAACTGTTCTTGTGCAAGAGGCCAGTGTAGATAGGCAACGTGAATTTCTTGTGCAAGAAAGTCCGATGACTAAAATGGCCATCAGAGCTTTCTTGCACAAGAGAGCGTCTACACTGGCATGGATGCTTTTACACAAAAGCGCATCTTTTTCGCAAAAGCACATGCCAGTGTAGACGCTCTCTTGCGCAAATACTTGAATGCAAAAACTCTTGCGTTAGAGTATTTGCGCAAAATCTTGCCAATATAGACGTAGCCTTAATGTTTAATTTTGAAGCTAGCTGAAATTTACACAAAAGTTTGATTGAAATCTCATGAAGGGAGGGATTGTGTTCTGTAGGAGTGGAGAGTACCTAGTTCATTTTGGAAGCAACTATAATGCAACTAACTGATTACATTAATATTCAGTGATAACTTTTGTAGTGTTTTTTAATGGAGGTGATAAAGTCTATATCCAGAGTAGTAGTTGAAACTTATTTTGACAGAGATATGACACTGATAGATTTAGAATACTTAATTTTTAAATGCAAAAACTTGTCATGTTAAACCAGGCATGATACTTGGAAATGAAACATTGCCTCTTTGCACATATTTCGTACATGGCTTTTTTGCATTCAGTATGACAGGATTTGTTATGGGAAACAGCTCTGAATTTCACTTATGTATGCAAACTCAGCTTTTAAAGTAACAAAATTATAAATCAAAGAATACACTTAAGTTTATAAGGACCAATGATTTGAGTAGGGCTGTTAAGCAATTACATTTAATTGTATAATTAAAAATGTGCAATTAATAGCAGTTAAACAATAGAATGCTGTTTATTTTAAATATTTGGGATGTCTTCTACATTTTCCAATATATAGATTTTAGTTACAACACAGAATACAAAGTGTACCTCGTTCACATTTTTTTTAATTACAAATATTTGCACTGTAAAACAAATTGTATTTTTCAATTCATCTTATATAAGAACTGTAGGGCATTCTATTTTCATGAAAGTTGAACCTACAAATTTAGATTTGTCCATTAAAAAAAAAAACCAACAACAATCCTGCATTCCCAAACAAAATAATGTAAAACTTTGGAGCCTACAAGTCCACTCAATCCTACTACTCATTCAAACAGTCATTCAAACAAGTTTGGTTACAATTTGCAGGAGATAATGCTGCCTGCTTCTTATTTGTCACCTGAAAGTGAGAGCAGGTGTCTGGATGGTACCATTGTAGCTGGCTTTGCAAGATGTTTACATAACAGATGCACTAAAGATTCAGATTCTCTCTTCCCCCTTCTGTCCCAGGCTCTCCCCCTTCCAGAGGTAGTGCTGGCCTGTGACCACATACCAAAATTAAGTTGCTCTCCTGAGCAAAAATTATTGCCCACCCCTGGGTAAAACATTATATTGAACCAATTAACTGCTTAAACAAGAGTGAGTTGCCTGGGGTGTTCCATCCCCTCTCTCATTCTGGCCTGGTTGGTGTGCCCCCTGCCAACAGCATGCTGCTCAGGCCATGCCAAGCCCATTGCAGGCAGGGGCTGCTTTGGCTGGGTTGAAGCATCCCCACCTGTGGTGTGCTGCTCAAGCTGGGCCCACGGTGGGCCCTGCAGGGGGCTTCTCCAGCCTCCATGGTTAACCATAACTGGTAAACATCACCCTTAGTCATTCACATGCCTAGTTCCAGAAAACATGTGTCCAAGCTGATGGTTTCTGCTTGATAGTGATCCATAGCAGACAGATGCATGTTCTTTGTCATCTGAGTGATGCCACCAACAGAAGGTTGATTTTTTTCCTCTTTTGGTGGTTTGGGTTCTATAATTTCTACATCATACTGTTGCTCTTTTAAGACTTATGAAAGCATGCTCCATACCTCTGATTTTGGGTGGCACTTCAGATTCTTAAACCTTGGGTCAAGTGCTCTTAGGAATCTCACATTGGTACTTTGTGTTTTGTTAAATCTGTTGTGAGTGCTCATAAAATGAACATGTGCTGTACCATCATTTGAGTGTGTTATAAAAGTGCCATGCTCTCACTTTTTGGTGTTATTTTAAGTAAGCAGGCAGCATTATCTCCAATCATTGTAAACAAACTTGTTTGTCCTAGGGGTGCGTCTACACAGCACCCTAAATTTGAACGAGACACAATTTGCACTACACAAATTGTATATCTTATTTAGAATCTATTTTGAAATAACGTATTTTGAAATTTGGAGTGTGTAAACAGCGTCAAATTTTGAAACAATGCGCTACTTCAAGCCATCCCTTAACTCTTGTACAACAAGATTTACTGGGATGGCAAAATAGCGTGCCTGTTATTTAAAAAAATAACCTTTGGTATCCTGAAATAGCCGTGCTGTACTGTAGATATACTCTTAGTGATTAGCATATGTAGGACTGAGTAGATCTGTAGGCTCTGAAGTTTTACGTTGCTGTTGAGTTCAGTTATGTAACCAAATCTACATTTGTAAATTATACTTTCACAATAGAAAGATTGCACTACAGTACTTGGAATTAAACATTTTTACAGAGCATATATTTGTAATCAAAGGTGAGCACTGTACACTTTGATTTTAATTAACACAATATAATATTGAAAATGTAAAACAAATTCACAAATATTTAATACCATTCAATTTGGTATTCTATTGCTTAAATGTAATTAATCATGATTTTTCTGAGTTAATTGTGTGCGTTAACTATGCTTAATCAAAAGCCCTTCTTTTGAAACAGAATTTGAAGTGATATCTTAAAGTATCCAAGTGTAGACCACATTGAAACATGAATTTTCTTTTATATTAACAGGATATTTACAACACATGATGTTGGAAGAGTTCCTCTTACAGCAAACATAAGTTATGGCAGCACATTGGAAGAAAATTATAGTAATCCTTCTAGCAGCTCAAGTATTGCTTATGGGTGATGGCTTTGAGGAAGAGGATGTACCTGATGAGTGGATTCTTCTTCATGTAGTCCAAGGCCAGATTGGAGCTGGAAACTATAGCTATTTGAAACTAAATCATGAGGGGAAGATAGTACTTCAGATGCAGAGTTTAAAAGGCGATGCCGATTTGTATGTATCTGATATAACCCTTCATCCCAGTTTTGATGAATACGAATTACAGTCTGTAACTTGTGGCCAAGATGTTGTTTATATACCAGCTCACTTCCGCCGCCCAGTAGGAATAGGAATATATGGTCATCCCTCTCACTTGGAGAGTGAGTTTGAAATGAAAGTATATTATGATAGAACAATTGCAGATTATCCATTTGGTGAGGCTTCCTACAATCCAGAAGAGATGGAGGCAAGCCAGAAGCACTCTCATTCAGCAGAAGATCAGTCTCAGGATGAGGATTCTATATTCTGGACTATACTCATTGGAATTCTGAAACTAATACTTGAAATTCTTTTTTAAAATAATCAGCTGGACATACACTGGACTGGAGTGCACTTATAGCCTATGACATTGAACATGAATGGCTTGCTGTGAGCTTTGGTACTTTTTTTTTGTAAAGTTACCTGAAGAGGTATTCAGGTTATCTTTTCTATGCTGAGGAGGGGAAAAGCAAAGCCATATTTAATTTTGTATAGGCACCCCACCCTCCCACCTGCCAGAGATAAAATGAACAGAAAGCACAGTATTTGTATAATTTTCTTTATAAATCAGGGTTAAAGTGAATGTACAATAAAGGGAACCTTATTAAAATGTCACTTTGAATAGGTGCATAAGAAAACGGACTTTGATAATTCATTGTATTTTCTATTAAAGTGACACTTAATTTTATACAAAGAAAAGTTGTAAAATCTGAAAGGTGCGATTTTAACAACCTCTCCCAATTTAAAATAAAGAACTAATTTTCTAATCTCTTTGCCATGTGAACAGATCTTTAGCAAGTGGCACTTAAAGCTGGCAACTGTTGGAATTTGAAAACAGTGTAGCAAAGACCAGGAAATATCAACATTTAAGGTGAATGGTGATTCTAGGTACCTAGTTAGAACCAATTTAAAGAAGCCTGACTTTTCAAAGGGCAGGTCCCCAGGGCTTTTTCAATCTGCTCTCTAAAGTATCAAGTTGGGAATTTAAACTGAGGCACCCAAAATCACTTTTTAAAATCATGACCTGAATGAAGTGTCATCTTTGCTTTCTCTATAGGAGACCGATCTTTCTAGTTGAGAAAGGATTATAATGAATCAGTGGTTCAGATACTTTTGTGTGTGTGTGTGTGTGTATATATATACACACACACACACACACTATAGTGTCACTAGTCATTAACTCAGTCTGCATTATCATAAGCAGGAAAAGATTCCTCTCACTACATGTATCCCATTTATTAAATTTAATCACAGTCTTAGTGCAACTGCCACAGAATCTATTCTTTATGATACTTGGTGCGTCTTTATGAAAATTACATGTAATTAACTCCTGAGGTGCAAAATATTTTCCAGTTAGACTTAAAGGAATTCTAATAAATGAGACTGGAATTTCTGGGAATGCATTGACATTTTTTGGATATTATTCCTGTAAGCTTTAAAGTCATGGATTTTTTTAAATTGAAGCAGCACTGATTACTTAGAAGGAATCTGTATGCTTTGCTTTGATTGAATCCTGAGGAATAAAACTGAGTGCTATGCAAATACCTAAACTTGTGTAATTTTCTCTCCATGTAGAATTTATTGCTATGAGGCATTGGCATATAAAAGTGTGTTACTGTAAACTGCCTCTGAGAAGACTTTGTGAAAAAGTTTCCCCTCTTAAATGGAAATTTGAGATGTCAGTCTAAACTGACATAACAAAATGCATGTTCAATTACTGCCATCATAGGAAAACACAGCCAAAATTATAAAACAATTTATTTGGTAAAAGATGCTTAAGTGGTTTTGTTCCATATAGAGAGTGGTTGGTTAAATAGCACCAAATTTATCACTTCAATTTGTGCAGTTAATCTTACTGGAAGATACATTCTTTTAGCCCTCTTTGCTGTTTTTTCCCCTTCTTCCTCCTCTTCTAGGTGTGGGGGGGTCTTTTTGACAACAGTCACAAATCCAGCGACCTACGAAAGAAGAGTTGACATTCAGTGTTTTTATTCTTCCTGTAGAGCTTGTGACTATTCTACAAGACGAGTAAACTTTTTTTTTTTTTTTGGCTATTAACTGTGCTGGTAACATGCAAAATTATCTTCAAATTTAAGTGTATAAGATAGTACTAGTGTTAGAAACAGGTAATGGCATATACATTCCCAACATACTGTATGTCAAACTGGACTTCGCAATCCTACTATAGGCTGGTTGAGAAACACTACCCATGCACTCAATTTTGCTTGAGTCAGAAGTGAAGTATTGGATCAAAGCATAATTTTAATGTGTTGACTGATTACTTTAAAGAAATATCAACTGATTCTGTGTTCTATCTTTAATATGGCTCAGTTAATGTACAGCCTAGTGTAAATCACAGAACATGAAGGGAAGAGTGTTCATCAGCAATTGAACAACTGTCCACTCTACTACATCTCACACTATTTTCAGGAAATGGAAGTATTGGTATTACAGGCAGTTAGCACTGCAGAACTTACTAAATATGAATCAATACAGTAGCAGTATTTTGCAACATGGATTTAGTATTGCACAGACTGACTACTGTCAATGATCTAGTTCTTTAATTCTGATTCCGGACTGCCATACACCTTGTGCAGTCATTTACACAGGTGCAAAATGAGTGAAATATTATTAAACTGGTATCTTTTGTATTAATATAAAGCAGATATAAATAACTGCACATAGTACCAGACACCAGTTATGTTTCAATTTCAAGTTTAAACTTGTTCCTGGGTTTACTTAGTTGACAATAGAAATTGTGATGTAAAAAAAAAAGATCAAGAGTATTTACACAGATGGGAAGAACATGCAATTTTTTTTCTACTTTAATAAAGCATTTGCACTTTTAAAACAATGCAAAGGTTATACTCTATCAATATGAAGAAACACAAAGTTTATATATGCTTGTTTTATGTATAACTGTTCAATATCTTGTGGGGAAACTGAAAAAGTAGGGTTCTGAGCCCAGCCCTATTCTAGTTTTGACAGGAAGCCAGTATTGTAACATGATGAAGTTTCCAAATCCTATACTATTATCAAAATATACAGAAAATTTATTTTACAAAAATCTCATTTTTGGTGTTTTGGATAATTCAGTTAATACTATTTTATACTGCAGATGCTACTTAATGTTTACATTCAACTAATTCACACATACCTCTGGAAGTGTAATCTTACACAGTAGAACATCCCAACCCTTAAAGGCTAATTTTTGCTTCATTACCTGAAGGGATAGCACCAAGCCCCACACAAAAGGTATGATAACCACGGTCACACACATCACAGAACATCATTTCTTCTTCATGGTGAGGCTGCCCACATATAATGCATGTTTTACATTCCATACACTGCCAAGGGTAGGTTTTAATCATAGCAACAAGCTCCACGGTCATGTCAAGACAAGAAGGGTGGCCTAGGTTAAAACCAATATTATTAATATTACTAATATCTTTAGAAATGAAGTTTTAAAGTAATATATATAAGTTACTAGCTATTTTATAAAAACAAGTTTAGCTCACCTAAGACTCAGCACAGTGACTCTGTTCTAGTACATACTTAAGTACAAGCATGGAAATTCTAAAGAGAAAGTTTCTAATTAAGATTGAAATGTTTGTATGCAAATTTAGTATTATACAAAATACTTCCACTTTTGGCAATGAAAACTCCCAGCAATCCAGTTAAAGTGTATATAGATACTTACCACTGTTGTCACATTGGGAGCAGTGTATAAGTGCTTCAGTCTTTCCTTTCTTGTTGGACTCCTTACCCTTCAGACAAATTCCACAAATAGCATTTGGAGTGACCTTTGGCTGGAAGGGTAGAAGAGGGCTATAAATTCATCCCAGAAGAATTTATAAAGGATTCAACAGGAAATTTGTTAACGTATCTCCATTTTAACTTTTTAAAATTACTAATGAACTTTCTGTATCTGTGATCAAAGTGAACCTTAAGACATAAGGTGAAATTGATAAACACTGGTTATTTTTTTTAAATCTTAGGAAAGATGCATACCAATTTGATATTTAAAACATGTGCACAGTGAGCTATATGTAAATCATTTTACAAAAAATGGAATTAGCATACACTCTTGCTCTGGTTTCTCCTGCAAGATTCAGTTAGCACTTCCCTTAATAGGGAATACAAATAATATATATTATATCATAATTGTAAACCTAAATCAAATTTGTTAAATTGTGGAAGGAACAGGAAAACATTTATATGAATTTCCAAACTCACAAGCTTCCATGTACATAAAGAAACAAATATCCTTTAAGAAATAGAAAATTACTTAACTCATTTGAATGGAAGCTTAAAACTAATGCCGGAATATCATACTTAATTTTTATTGTTGCAAGTTTCCAAAAATGTCTAATACACAAGATAGTTGTGTTGCTTTAATCAGTTTTATTGCTCCTTTCTTCCATATCCAAGATCTTGCTATAGAAAACACTACAGTTCTACATTTATGACACTGCTAGGAAATGATGTGAGAGACAGGAACTTAGTGTTCATAACATCTACTTAAGGCAAAGAACTTCCGGGGACTTAGGTTTGCTTTGAGGTTCCCAGTATCTGTGTAGTAATTTTGTGACCAAACACAAAAGATAAGCCAGTAGCTTTATTTGAGGGAAAGAAAAAATACAATAAAGGTATCAAATTATTTTTGAAACGGTCACTTAAATAGCTTTAGTGTCAGACTTCAATCTATTATACCTTAATGACGCTATGGATTCAAATAAACACTTACTGATGTTAAATCCACCACTGCCAGAGATTTTTAAAAAGCCAGTGTATGTCAGTGATATTTTAGTTCTATAGTACACAGGCAGCCATCTAGTCAATGGAAGAGCTTTTAATGAAAAGCCTACTCCCCAAGAAAGTATGTGATTACTGATAAATGGTCATAATGGGACTTGCTCCATTTAAAAAAACCTGCCAAATGAAAAAAGAATAAAAATGGGTATTTTTTACTTAATATAGTATTAATAATCATGGCAGTGAATATAAAACTATTTTAAAAGGTATTCAATACTTCCCCTTTTAAAACAAAAATGCTATTTCCCAGTCAGCTCTTTTCTAACATTTAGCAAGATAATTAATGTCTTCAGCAATTTGTCAGAATTCATTGCCCTGCCTCAATTTTCTTTAATTTACTAAATCCCCTTTTATGGTTCTAATCTGCTTAACTTTCCTGGCCTGAGAAGTTTTAAATATAACAAAACCCACCAGATATTATATGTAACTTCCTTTTCAAAAGATGACAGAGGCATTCATAAAGACTTTTTTTGCTTATTTATTTTAAAAAAAGCATAGTCAAACCTGTTTTATACATAAATATAATAAAACCATAAAAGAAGTCTAACATTCACAAATGTCTCTACAAAATAAATATAATGGAAGTGAAAGCATACATAGAAAATTCTTACTTGTAACTATTCTACATCTACATAAATACCTTCTATACCCTGCTCCTCCCAACAAAAGGATAGTGGCACACACTTAAACCTCAGTTTTGCAGTGTATTAATTATCCTCTTGTTTCTTACTGCTATATTCTAAGAGTAAGGTTTTTGTTATGACATTTTACCTATAACTAAGTAAAACAAACCTCTCTAAAATAGCAAGTGCACTTTTCTAATCAAAATTCTATTTCAGCTATGAATAATTCATATTATACTGCTATAATATACAGCAGAAAACTCCCCCATATTCCACTGAAACTAAACTAACTTTGGGTTATTGTACCTGTGCTAGTTTATGTGTAGTTAATACTTTGATACATATAACTATAAAATTAAATACTGACTTAGGTGTATTTATTGTTAATACTTCCCTCTACTTCCACTGCACTAACATGTGTTCACTAGAAACAGTGAAATAAATCACAGCATACTAAAAATGTAGAGAGCCCCAAAGGGATGGAAGCACTCTGTTTAACATAGAATGGGGTAGGGGAGAGGAGAATAACTAAATGCAAGGTATTCACATTTCAAAGTAATTCAAGTTCTACATCCTAAAGAAATTAAATGGCCTTTAGGGAGCACTATGAAAAATTCTGTCTGTCCTGTATGCAAAATCATAATATCTCATTTCACCATTTCACATTTTGCTTGCCAAATCACCTTCATCTTATCTAATGAAGAGTGAGGCAGAGGGACTCCCTTATAACTAACTTCCATGCTGCTGTGCTGCAGCTCAGAGTCTCAAATCAAGCTCAACTACTGAAACAAGCACGAGTTTTCTCTGAGGTCCTATTGCCTGTGGGCAAGGCATTCAATTTTCATATATAAATGAACCCAAACCAAAAGTTTTGGGGACTTAACATCTCAACACATGGCAAATTTATTATGTGCAAAAAACTCCTGAACTCTGGGAAGAGAACCCTGTATGTGCAACGGTAGTAGCCAGTCCTGTATCAATTATAGCAACATCCAAGACTCTCTACTTTGTGATGTAATGAAATATAAAACATGCTAACCATTATATACTAATTAAAAGGCTGACAGTTAATGAAAATGGCTTCATACAAAATACACCGTTTTCCTGCTTAAAAAAAGGAATATGAGAATTCTATTGTATCACTTAAACTGTACTTACTATACCTATACACTCATACATGTTGATGTTGTAGCATTTATCCTTCAATTTTAAATTAATTGTAACCTAAAGATTATTATCCTATAAAATGGACAAACAGAATAATACAGATGAAAAATATTACAAAAACCAGAATTTAAAGGGACATTTAAAATTGGTTTCTAGCCTTCAGCATAAAGTGCCTTTATATTTAGGCACATTGTGGTGTATCGAAATCTGTTAATCTTTTTATAGACCACTTTCAACAAGAATGTTTATATCTAAATCAATTAAGATATTTCATGTAATGGGGCATACTACTTATGTTTCAAAATTCCCATTAAAAATACACAACTCTGCCACCTCTGAAGTACTGACAACCTGATGCATCACCTTTGAGTAATGCTAGGTACACTGAAACTGTGAAAAAATATGCCATACAAATATTTTGGCACTGTAAGTTATCCAGTTAGCTTGCATGAACTGCTTTATTACTAACATAATCTGTAGTTTTAAACTAATAGATAATAGCCATCTGACTTCTCTTTCAAACTGCAGTACTGCATTACTTGTACAGCTGTAGGAGTTCAGAACCTTAGAAATGGTTCTGTTTAATTAGTTCTATGTATTCAAAAAGGCCACTAAATAGAACAGACTAACCAAACAGACACCATACTTTGTGGTCTTCACACCTAAGTGAAGCTTATTCGGTCAGGCCAGTTGCAAACATTCTCTATTATAAAAGATTTAAAAAATTAAACACTTTTTCAAGCTTCATCTTTGGATTTCATATTCTTGAAAATGTTGGTGTGAGTTTGGGTCTGCAATAAACAATTTGAAAAGTTACATATATAAAAAGATATGTATACCAACAGTTCAAATATCCATAATTTGCATCTGTCTTAAGCAACTCCTCCAAAGAGGAAAGATAGCTGAAGCTTGATAGTTATTTGTTATAAACAGCAAAAAAAATATGCATTGTGCAGGTATAGAATAAATTTAAGTTGTCCAATTCTTGTTGAAAACTATTTTCTAAGTTTGATGTATAGCTTCTTTAACAACCAATAGTAAATGTTGATTGTTAGCAAACATTCCTGAATATAAAATTCAAACCATTAACAGCTCACAATTACCTTTGCTGCTGCAAGATTTCTCAGAATATATGATTTAGATATCACAGAAAAAATTATTGCTTTTCAACAGCATCTTTTGGCAAACACTCCCCATCACCATGCTTTAAACCCTTCCTCACTGTAGCATCTTTCACACAACGGAACTGATCCTGCTCCCACTGAAGTCAATGACAAAGTCTTACTGAATTCAATGGGAGCAGGATGGGGCCACATGTGTTTTTGAAGGTATAAAAATCAAGACTCCTATACTGTTTATAGTTCTAGAGCCTAAAATTTAAATAATGCAGATGAATTCTAATTTCTCTTAAAATATATGTAATCCTTATTTGACTACTGGGAAAACATTAATATTGCTTATTTTATCCTGGGTTTTGTAATCACTGCTTTACAGATGTTAAAGAGACTCAGTGTCATAACCAAATTTTAACTTGAGTAAGAACATTCTGCCTCTAGAAATTTCTCTTGTGACATGTATTAGATAATTTGTTATTCTCCATATCTGTCCTATGAGGTTGGGTAGTGTTGCTTAAACTGTAGTTAGTTTTGTAATCCATCCCAAAGGTGGCTACGCTTACTGATAAGTGAAGTAAAACCTATAAATAGTCAATACTTTGGATCCTTGAGGATGAAAAGCTCTGATTATATTGTCATAACATGCACTTATTCAACCATATTGCTGTGCTTTACAGCATGGGATCTCATGGTCTGTTGCCACACTTACTACCAGTAAGACAAAAACAGTGAATACTAACTTCTGACTGCAATATTAAAGCAGCCAGGAAAATATAAAAATCTCTGTATAAACAGCCATAATTTTTGTGTTGTAATTTCCCAGGAATAAGTTATGACACAAAAATAGAAGCCACTCCATAGCCAGGGTAACAGAAAAGCCCCTAGTGAAATAAAGTCAAATAGGAAGGAAAGAAGCAAACAGTTGGAGAGCACAATAGGAGAGCAGCTAGTGAAGTACAGCAAGCAGAACTTCCATATTTTTGAAAAACAAAGTTAAATATTTCAGGGAGAGAGGCTGGTCAGTAAAGAAGCGGAGTCAGGGGCTTTTTTCTTCTACCTTGTACCCAGGAACTGATTTGGACAGTACAGAACGTTTGGAGCCATCTTTTCTTGGAGTTGCACTTTTGTCTCTTGGTTTTTGTCTTCCCTGAAAAGAATCCTCCTGGTTGTCATTGGCACATTCACCTTCAGATACATTGCCAGATGAGTTGTCCTGTAAACAAAAATACCATCACTTTTTTGGATAGAGAAACCATTCTTTTCTAATCTCCAATGCCAACAAGGGTTAGCAGATTCTTTTCTACAAAAGCACAGGAGACATTTAAATGTGATACGGCCTGTTTTATTGTAACCTTTCATGCCTATATGTCTCCACAAAGAGGTTGGCATTACAGCAGAAGGATTCCCTCCCCTTCAACTCAGAGGCAAGAGTGAAGTGGGAAACTATAGCTTGGGTCACACATCTACATAATCATATTATTCATTTCTCGAAAGACTCTGTAGCAAAAAGTAAGGAAGGGCATGGACCTGGTATTTTCAGTGTAAAAAAGCAGCAGGAAAACAGTTTTAAAAGAAGTTACAGGCCGGATTTCATAAGTCAAAAAGCAGCATTAAAATAGTAAAGCCAAACTTTTTGGTTTTGCCTCACAGTTTGTTCACACATCTACATAATCATATTATTCATTTCTCGAAAGACTCTGTAGCAAAAAGTAAGGAAGGGCATGGACCTGGTATTTTCAGTGTAAAAAAGCAGCAGGAAAACAGTTTTAAAAGAAGTTACAGGCCGGATTTCATAAGTCAAAAAGCAGCATTAAAATAGTAAAGCCAAACTTTTTGGTTTTGCCTCACAGTTTTCTTTTAATCTAAACTACTGGACACAGATGTTAAAAATCCCACTGAAGTAATTACAGACATTGATCAAAGGGAAAGAAATGGAAAGAATCTCTTTTTTGTTTAAGATCACTTCTCAATTTATCTCACCGAATTGCCTTTGATTTTCCGTTTGTCGTCACCTCGACCTTCTTCTGCATCATCCGAATCTCCATCACTGTCCAGTGCAGGGAGTTCTGGATCCAAAGGTGGTTCATAAAGGGCTGTGTTTAATGGCAAATAGCGAAGTTCATCTGGGGAGTATCTAAAGTCAAGAAATAACTGCTTACTAATACAACTACTTACACACACATACACCTAGGGATGTCAAATATAGGTTAATGAACTAATTGACTAGTCGATGGATTTTCCATCGACTAGTCAATAAGCAGGGGAACTGCAGCGGTGTTAATTCCCTTCCCGAGAGCTAACCTCACTGCGGCTCTGCCTTTTAAATGTATTAAGAGCCTGCTGGCTCTTAATATATTTAAAAGGCTGATGCGCAGCATGGGGGGAGGGAGAAACGCGGTGCAAGCCAGGCCAACTTTAAAGGCTAAGGCGCAGCAGGGGGGACCTGGTGCAAGCTGGGAATCAGCCGGCCCAGCTTGCGCTGCATCCACCCCTCCCATCCCCTGCTGTGCTTCTGATTTTTAAATGTATTAAGAGACGGTAGGCTCTTAATACATTTTAAAAGACTCGTCCCCGCTACGCCCCTACCCCCTGCAGAGACAGTACTGGGGGGAACCAGCATTTAAGAAGCAGCAAGGGGTGGGAAGTGACTAGTCGAGGGACTAGTCATTTACATCTCTACATACACCATCAACAAAATATTTAAACCATTTAACTGCCAGTGGAAAATAAAAAAGGACAGATCAGTTCAAAGCTCATTTTTAATTGTATATAAAATTACCACAGTTGTGTGCCCATATACAGTAATTATGCACAAAATTCAGAAAATGTGGGTCACAAATGCATTCTCTCTTTTTGGTCATAAATGTTACCAAATATTGTTTAACATGGACTAACATTTATAAACACACACACACACGCTCAGTCCAGTAAAAGGTGCCTGTTCCTCAGACATCATGGACCAATGCCTCATCCAAAGTACACCGAAAACAATAAAGTCTTTCTATTGATTGTAATGAGTTTTGGATCAAGTGCTATATCCTACTGTCTGAGAAATCAACTGACTAGGTAACAATCAGTTGCACACACACAAAATGGAAAATGATTGCCTAGGAAGGAGAACTGCAGAAAAGGATCTGGAGGTCAGACTGCACAAAGAGTTAAATATGAGTCAACAGTGTAACACTATTGCAAAAAAAGCAAAACAACATTCTGGGATGTACTAGCACAGTGGTCCCCAACGCGGTGTTTTTAAAAAAGTGGCCTTTTTTCAAAAAAACTTCCCCTGCATCTAGCCTGCTGCCGCGTTCTTTCAAAAGTAAATCAAAAGAACACGGCAGTTTTTTTTACCTTGGAAAACCTTGTTTTATGAGGAATAACGCCATTTTTCAAAAGTGCTCTTTTGAAAAAAGGCACTATGTAATGCAAACAGTGCTTTTTTGAAAGAGAACATCCAGACAGCCTGGGTGCCCTCTTTCGAAAAAGCGGCTTGTTTTTTCTAAAGTACTGGTTGTAATCTGGATGCTCTTTTTCGAAAAAGCCTCTTTCAAAAGAGGCTTGCAGTCTAGACGTAGCCTATGTGAATTCAGATACCTCTAAACCATCAAACACATTGTTAACAAGTGCCCCCATCTTTTCATTTCTAGGAGGCATAGCAAAGATCCATTCTGCATCTTCTGAAGTCCTCTAATACATTTTAAACCTTTCTACTCGCTTGTAACTGTTGCTATTTCCAGATAATTACGTAACAGGAGTCAATGTATCTCAAATCGCATTTCCATGCCATCTACACAGTGGGAGGTCAATGGGAGCAAACATTCTCATTGTCTTATAGCAGAGGTTCTCAAACTTTGTAATACCGTGACCCCCTAAAATTCTAAATGAATTTGTGTGACCCCCCACCACACTGCTCCACAAGTAAAGGGGTACTTGGGGGCAGCGGGACTGGCCAGGGGAAATCGGGCAGGGGAACCAGCTGGCGGGAAGCAGAGCTAGCGGGAGAGGGAGGGAGGAGTCGGGGGCAGCAGGGCTGGCCAAAGGAGTTGGGGGGGTCGTCAGAGCTGGCTGGGGGAGATCGGGCAGGGGAACCAGCCACCAGAAGCAGGGCTAGCAGGGGTAGCGGGGCTGGCCACAGAAGATCGGGAGAAGTGGAGGAGAACTGGCTGGCCAGGAGGGGGTCGGGGGAGCGCGAATTGGCCGACGGGGAGCGGGGCTGACCCGGGCACCGTCTCGCACACAGTTCTGGTGAAGCACAAGTGAATCCGGCTGCGGCTCCACCACGTGCTTGACCAGCGCTCAGGAGCACGTACAGGGCTTCCCCTCCTCCCCAAGGCGTCAGATTGCGCCCCGCCTCCCAGCCAGTCCCCCTCACCTCCTCCAGGCTTCCGTCAGGTACCCAGCCGACGGAAATACCAGACATTATACATGTCCAGTATTTTCTCAATATTTTTACCAGACTGTCCCAAAACCCCCAAAAAACGGACTGTCCTGTGACCCCCCTCTAAGTTGCTTGCAACCTCCTCCATCATGACCCAGAGTTTGAGAAATGCTGCTGTAAGCCATGAGAAGAAATTCCTCTGCTCTAAACCACACAAATTAAACCTCAACTGGAGGACTACGTCCAGTTCTGGGTGTGTGTCATTTCAGGAAAGAGGTGGACAAATTGGAAAAAGTCCAGAGAAGAGCAACAAAAATGATTAAAGGCCTAGAAAACATGACCTCCAAAGGAAGATTGGAAAAAAATTGGTTTATTTTGGAAAAAAGAAAACAGAGTGGACACAATAACTGTTTTCAATAACATAAAAGGTGGCTACAAGGAGGAGGGAGAAAAATTGTTCTTAACTTCTGAGGATAGGACAAGAAGCAATTGGCTTAAATTGCAGCAAGGGAGATTTGAGCTGGTCATTAGGGAAAACTTCCTATCTGTCAGAGTGGTAAAGCAATGTAATAAATTGCCTAGGGAGCTTGTGGAATCTCCATCATTGGTGAGTTTTTAAGAACAGATAAGACAAAAACCTTTCACAATGATGGTCTAGATAAAAGCGGTCCTGTCATGAGGGCAAGGGCCTGAAATTAATGACCTCTCAAGGAACCTTCCAGACCTATAATGCTGCATACACTGAATCCTTCAATAAGTCATACTTATGATCTCCAATATGCTATTTATCTCTCTATACACATTCAAAAAATTTCCTGCAGGACAACAGCATCAGCTCTTAGCGAGGCGAAAGTGGCCAGAGAGAAGGGGGTAGGTGAGTGTAGCGAGCAGAGGATGCAGCCCCCTAGTTTTATATCATCTACCAATTTTATATGGATACATGCATAAGTATAAAACAAGTTTGATTATTTAATAGGTTAAAAAATAAAGTAGTAGGGGGCCATAGTTTTGTGTGTCAATTCTCAGATTTGAAATGTCAAATATCTGACAATTACAGTCCACATATCATATGTTAATTTTGAAATGAACTTCCTTTAGAAAGGAGTGAGCTTGTTCCAGCAGAGTGGGAATTTTTTTAAAACACACATGAAATTTATAGGCATAGGATTAATTTGTCACATAATATAAAACATTTTAATGAAGTTATAATCCGTCAAATTGCCTCAATTTCTAATATTTTAAGTGTTTTTCATTGGGAGAAAACAACATATGTGCAGGTATGCAACCGTCCATATCTCTAGCAACTAAATACCAGAGAAAGTTTTTGTGAATTCATTATTCCACTTAACTTTACTTCAGTCAGCATTAGGGAAGATGAATGGGAAGCATAGGTGCATTAGGTGTGGGCATGCCTTTTTTGATAAAACCACACCCTTCTGGAAGACATTTTGTACTTATTTTGCTTCAGAGGGGTAGCCGAGTTAGTCTGTACAGGATAAACTTTAAAAACAACACATAGTCTGGTAGCACTTTAAAGACTAGCAAAACATGTAGATGGTATCATGAGCTTTCGTGGGCACAGCCCACTTCTTCAGATGACTGGAGTGTTGGATGTCCAGAGCCAACATCTGGACTTCCAACACTCCGATCATCTGAAGGAGTGGGCTGTGCCCACGAAAGCTCATGATACCATCTACATGTTTTGCTAGTCTTTAAAGTGCTACCAGACTATGTGTTTTGCAACTTTGATCTAAGGATTTCAAAGCACTTTACCAAGGTGATCATTATTCCTATTTTACCAGTGACAAAACTGACACTTACAGTGAATAATGACTTGTCACACTGGAACCCAGTGACAGCCAGGAATAAAATCTTGCATCCCATCTATCCATTCTAATAACCAGATCAAGCTGTGTCCCTATCTGCTTCACTCTGGAGGTGGCACACATTGAGTCAGCCCTTACAGAGATTAGGGAACTTGTCAGAGAAAATATTTCCATGCTAATCTTGGGCAATACAATATATTGTACACATGGCAGAGGTTTTAAAAGTTCATAAACACAAAGAATTACAGACATTTTCAGAGGGAGAGGGGTCAGTTTACCAAAACTTTCCTTCTTCCCCCACACACAATTTCACAGGCCATGAAAAAAAAAATCAATTAGCTGTTAGCAGTCATCAGTCTTGAAAAAAAAAAAATCCCATAAAACTGTTTATCTGTGTTCATGCTGAACAGCTGCATAAAAAATACTTGACCACGCGCCTGCAACATAAAATTCAGACATACTGCAAATATTCTTGACAGTCTCTGGGGAAGTCAAATACTGAATAGACAGAGAGAGTGAACTACACTCTGTTGCATGTCAAATTGATCCCTCTAGAACAGGCATGTCCAAAGTCCGGCCCGTGGGCCAATTGCGGCCCGTGTTCTGGTTTAATACGGCCCCACAGGTAATTTGGCAATATCTATCTTTTATGGCCCCCAACGAATCCATATGTATTGAGATGAATACATTGTAAAATCTCAGTTAATGTTAGTTGGTCTAAATCAGTTATTAATATATTTGGACACAACATGTATACTTGGTGTTATGTTCCTGTTCATATTTTTTGAACTTAAAAGTTGACAGACAACCTTTATTACCAATAATATGTAATGTACTTTACAATGTTCCTGACATATATTTCAGCTTCCTGGATTTTTTTTTCATCTGGCCTTCAGATATGAAAGGCAGAGTGATTTAACACCTGTTTAGATTTGTCATCCATGTGACGAAATGAAAAGTATGCCGTTTGCAATAAACTTTGCATAAAATAGTTAATTTGCATTTAATTTTAATGGTTCAAAGAATGTCAGGCAAAATGGTCGGCCCTCACGCATGTTCGCTTCATCAAATCTGGCCCTCTTTGAAAAAAGTTTGGACACCCCTGCTCTAGAACATGGCTGAGGCACGTTGACAGAGCAGCATGGAGAAGTTTGCACTGCTGTTGCCAGTGCCAAATATGTTCAGTGAAGAATGAACTTCAGTCTTCTGGAACTGCAGACTTACATATCTCAGCCAAAAAGTTCACTCAAAATTATTTTCAAAGTATTATCACTACTACCCTTCTCAGCTAAATTCCTGGAATACAGAGCAAGTAGATGTAACATAAACAGTAGCTATGATATCTTTGTAAGTACCTTTTGTAGTACTCCTGGAACTGGCCGGGTATGAGAGCCACTGGATAAGGACTAACCTTTGTTCTCTCTGTAGGTAAGATTTTGTATTTTCCTTGAGGCACCTGGATAATCTGTATCGTTTAATACAAAATAATATCTTATTTTCCAAACTAGCAACATTTGTTTTAAAGTCACTTGACTTTTCCACATTTTTAAACTCGGCCTTTATTATGCTGGAACAGTCACCTGATTTTCCCTGATGCATTCCAACACCTCAGTGCATATATTATATAAAAACTTATTTTATAGTTTTGTCAAAATAATATTCTATAAAAATCTAAATAATAAATGTCTATTTATCACAATGGACAACTAATCATCTTTATGGCACCAAGACTTTGTAATAAGATAGGACAGTGGTTCTCAAAACTGTGGATCTCAACAAAAGTTCCCTGTAAGCTGTGCTTTTGTGCACTCAGGAGAAATTCAAATGCTGCCTAGCTGATTAGCAGATTGCCCACACATGCCTCAGTGCACATAAAACATTTATTCTGCAAGTGGATGGAAAAGATTGGAGGAAACATTGGTTTCAGCCCCAAATCCCAGCAAGTCTAAAGCCAGCCCTGGCGACTCCAGTAAAACAGGATTTGTGACCAAAGTTCGAACCCCACTGCCCAAGACTAAAGTCATCATATATTGATGTTCCCCTGGATGGAAGAGGTTGTGCTTTGGTGCCAAGTGATGAGGCTCAGGCTACAGTCCCCCTTCCCAGGGTCATGTAGTAATTTTGGCCGTCAGAAGGGGGTCACAGTGCAATTAAGTTTGAGAAACCCTGAGACAGAAGAAGAATAAAAAAACAAAAAACACACTCTTTTATTACATTTAAATTACCATACAAGCTGATAAATTAAGTAAGTAAAACGTAAGTTGGTTTTCATACTGAGCATCTTTAAAATGTAAATTTACCATAGAGGCATAATAGAAGAAAGTCATGAGAACAAGGAAATCCAACTTTGAAAGCAGACTTTTGTATACAAAAACATCAGGTATGATGAAAATATACAAAACAGAAGACCACAGGAACTGCCATAAAAGATCAAACCAGTGGTTCACTATCCAGTTGCTGACAGGGGCAAATGTCAGAAAAGTCTAAAACCTTCAAATAGTCTAGGAAAGTTTCTGCTTAAACTATCTTCAGGCAAGTATTGGTTGGCTTACATTCTGAAGCAAGATTGATACATATTTTTATCCTTTATAGTTGAACTATGAAAATTATTTTTATTCATAAATTACTAGAATATTATTAAAATGTTTGACTCGGGAATAATTTATAGAATTTACTATCACAAGCTAACTTTGACAATCAGTAATTATCAGTTTTAAATTTGTTTACTTTCAATTTCATTAAGTCTCCCCTTATTTCTGCATCATGAGAAATGGTAACAGGAGTATCCAAATGACCTGACCTCCTTTATTCTATTTTCTATACTACTACCACAACACTTATTTGTCTCATTTCTAAATTAAGTAGTACCAGCAGTGCTCTCTCATATGGAAGTCTTTCTACCTTGAGAAATTACATTAACTAACTGAAGTACATTTTAAAAAACTGAAGTGAAAAATTCTATTCTATTTGGTAAAATAACTTTTTAAAATGTACACAGTCAAATCTATTTCTAAACCAAATTATTTTAATGCAGTATTATGATAAAAATGATTACATAGTATGTTTTCAGAAAAAGCACCAAAAAGACTAGTATTTCTACTATAATATTGAAGCAGCTACGTATTATCAAGCAATAAATTTAAGTCAACTTACATGTGTCTGTAAATCGAAATAGGCTCTTCTTTCTTCCATTCGTTCCCGGTTTAAATTGCTGTTAAATTCTGCAGCTTTCTTGGCAGCTTTTTTAATATATTCTGGAACTTTACTAGCCTCTACTTTTTGTGTGTTCTGCTGTTGCATTTGCTGAAATAAAAATAATTGGATTAATTCACAAAATAAATCTGTAAAAATCAGATACTGAAAAAGGCACATAATCCCCATGCCCAATATTTTACAGATCTGGTTCATTAAAGTCAAATAGAAACTTACAGAGTATTCTTTATAATGATCTGTTATTCGCTGGCGTTCTTTTTCTTGCAGTATTACAGAATACTCAGCGTGTTTGGCAGGATATTCTTTAATCATCAAATCAATCACTTCATCACTGCGCAAGGCTGTTAAACCTAGATTTAAAAAAACCACCAATAATGCTACATTGCAAAATAAATTGTATGGAATTTGCCATTTTGACCTATAGTCTATTGTAAAATTTTCCATTAAAGCAGACAGCCTAACATAACTGGTACCTTTCACTGAACATGGCAACATTTTTTTAGAAATTCTAAAAACCACCCCTTCATCCCTTAATTTTCAAAACATTTTGGGCTTGGTGTGTGATTCTCATTGACTTTAATGGAAACCATATGTCTAAGCCCCATACTTTGCTTTAAAAAAAAAAAAAGTTTAGGGAACTCAGATACCCAAAATATTATGCAGCTATTGCTATTCTGTTTATGTCAAATAAACCACTAATAAATGAAAAGATACAGCATACAAAGAAGCAATGAAAATAATCTTCTATAACACTCAACTTCCTGTACTAAATGAGAAAGCAGTAACACAGATTTGCACTATCAAAAATAATTGTGATACGCAGGACTCAACAAATCCATTTATCTACTCGCCCGTGGCGAGTAGATTTCAGTCGGTCACCCCGTTCATCGGTGGTGCATGCATGCGCAGTGCGGGGCTGGCGAGTGGATTTCGCCGCGCTTTGTCAAGCCCTGGTGTTAAGCATTATTCAATCATTACGTCAATCCAAGTTAATGTGTATTATAAGTGAAAAAAGAAAATATTAAGGTTTTCATTCTGATATGAATATGCTTGAGTACTTTAATTCACATGTCCTCAAACCTGCAAGTTGATCAACACATGCAGACCTTTGTACCAACACAAAGCCCCATCTAAGCCAATGGAACTTCATGATGACACAGAGGTTCTCTTGATCAGCTTGGAAAACCAGGGCCTATGTTAATAAAATATCCTCATGAGCAAATGAAGTCATTAGAAATGGTAAAAACAATGTAGAGTCTAGTAATTTGTTGAAGACCTTAGATTGAAAATGTAAAATACAATGACATTACATTTTAAATGTACAATAAACAATAATAATAAAAATAATATAAATGTCTAGTCAAGAAATAACTTGATTTTCTATCATTTTAAGATAGGAATCAATAGTCTAGCCTAATCCAACTATATAAGAAATCTGAAAATTCATTTTGTTTTCTTACCTAAAGTACACTGAGTCTCTGTGATGACATTTAATTCTCTGAGGTAGAGTTTCTCCTTGTGAGACAGATCTCGTCTCTCTAAATCTCCAAGAAAAGACAAAACAGCAGTAAAACCGTGCAGTGTTATACACTCCCACATCCATCATAGAAGGAGTTCCAGTTAGGGGAAAAACTAGTTTACAACTTCTTTTTCATGTGATGAAAAAGGAAGTCCATACAATAATATGTCTATTTAGTTACTATTTAGTTTAGCAGTAGTACAATCCAGAATTAACAGTAGAAAGTTTGAAAAAATAACATCTTGCTAATGTAATCTGAGGGTATATTAGTTTAACACAGGAAAAAGTATTCCAAAATAAAAGTATTGTGTCATTATAAAAAAGGATGTTCATTTTTTGGGTTTTATTATAAATAGTTTTAAATTTACATTTTCTCCAAGAAATTAAAAGGACACTGGCAAATAGTAAAGGCAGAAAGTATGTTGCTAAAAACTGTTTACAAATTCTAATATAAGGACTATAGTAATAATTGATGGATAAGACAGACTGTCACCAATTCTCATAAATGAAGCATAGATTTCCTTGATTATTCTGATATTTTCCCTTAGGGTGGATATAATGCCCGCACTATTGTGCAAGAGTTGGAAATCGAAACTGACAAACCTAGTTCACCATCCAAACTGAACAATATTCACGAAGTTCCCAAAAGTAACAAACGCTCAAAAATAAATTAGGACCAAGATTAAGAAAAGTGACTTAATCATCCCATCTTCTGTAGAGCAGGCCCCTTTGTAGTATTTCAAGACAGGCACACAAATATCACTAGTAGCTTTTGAAATCTTGGCTCAGATTTTTCAGCTAATGTAAATGATTAGTAACAGAAAAATAGTTAAGCATGATTTTTAACTTGACATCACCCTCTTAACTGAAAGACTTATGTTATATTCAAAACGATGTGAGTTCCCAGTTTGTACACAGTGAAATCAACAGGATTTTTACACAAGCTTTTGCAACCTGGATACCTGGATATTTTCGTTTAAATGAAGTCACACCCAAGTATTCACTGACTTGCTCCTGAAGCATATAGTATTCTCCTGTTTCATCAGGTGGCCATTTGTATTCTATTAAATTTTCATCAGGAAAGTAGTTGAAATAATAATAGTACATTTCACTACAAAAGAAAGTATTATATAATACTCAAAGTAATTGTTAACAATGTTGTGCTTCTAGAACTTTATCTAATTTCCATTTAAATCAACACAATACTTTAAATCACCAGGTCAGAGAAATGCATGAGCAACTTATAAACAGATAAAAAGGAGCTAATGCAAAACTTATGCAAAAAATACAACAAAACGGTGTTTAAAAAGATACAATCTTAGTAAAGTGATACTACCCAAGGTCTTGACTAGAAGTTTCACAACTTCGAGAACTGTCCCCCGAGCCCATACGTCGTCGTTTTGATGGCTGGCTGCCATCATTTGAATTTTCTTCTGTATCATCCTGAAATAAAAATGGAGAGCAAGCATTAAAAATGAAGTCAAGTCGTAAAAGTAATAAAGTGTAAAGTTAAGCATGTACTTAATGTATTAGAATATCAAAATATAAAGAGTCAGAAAGATGTAATAAGCTAATAATTTTGGGATTGTGAAAGGTAGCTGTGTCTAAACCCAATCTGATCCTTAGAAGTACAAGTTGAACGTCTCTAGTCTGGCTTGGCAATATCTATGGTCCAGCAACATCCATGATCCAGCATGACACATCCTTAATAGCTGCAACTCTGTCAAATTACAAATCATTGGAAGAAACCAAAAGCCTTCAATGGCTTTATCTTGTTTAATAACATTTGTAAAATATTGTTTATGCAAGAACCTGTCAAAAACAGTCAAGACCACAAAGTTACACTTAATATTTGTTTATTAATGACAGGTATACTTGCTAAGTCTTATTCAGTGAACAACATATAACAGGAAAGCCAATCTCAAATATAACACTTCAAAACATGGATTTAAGAGACAACAGTGATTTATAAACTAATTTTGCCTACTGTAGCTACATAATACTTGTAAGACCAATACAGTGAAAAGATTAGAAAAAAACATGTCTGTCTCTCTCTCTTTTTATTTTACTTCATATATTTGACAACTCTTTGTCTAGTCTCTTCCCCTTTTCCTTTGTGTGGGTCTTCATGTAGCAAAAAAGAAAAGAAAAAAACATTTTTGTTAATTAGGAAAAAATGGAAAAGAAATTTTGAAGCAGGTGCAATTAGAGCTATTTTAAAAACTTCTTTAAATTGTCTCAAGCTGGTGGTATCTTTCAAAAAAAGATGGTTTTCATGAAAGGAAACAGAGAAGTAAAAAGAAAAAACTAGTGAGTGCATCACATTGTACGCTTTTGTTACAAAATCTATTTCTAAGGGAAAATGATATAAATGGATCAAAATCTTGTTGTGTTTGTTACTCAGCCTCTAAATGCTGGTAGGAACAACAGAGAATCAGCCATGCAGCTTCAGCACTAAAATAAGTTACAATGAAGGATAGCACAGAAGTAATGAGTCAGCTAATACTGAATACTGGGAACACAGACATAATACAGGCAGTCCCCGGGTTACATGGATCCGACTTACATCAGATCCCTACTTACAAACGGGGTGAGGCAACCCCGCACTAGCTGCTTCCCCCCAGCAGACCAGGGAAACGCTAAGCTAGCGCCCCCCCCAGCAGACCTGGGAGACACGGAGTGGTTTTTCTCAGCAGACACCTCAGCTTGAGAATAAAGGACTGAGGGAAGTGAGGCGTGGGAGAATAAAACTGAGCTCTGGAGAAATGTTTGCCTAGAGTTTCCCCTACAATATGTACCAGTTCCGACTTGCATACAAATTCAACTTAAGAACAAACCTACAGTCCCTATCTTGTACGTAACCCGGGGACTGCCTGTACACTGACAATTTCTGTAACTCTTTTAAAATTGTTTTATTCCTATATCACCTCAACTACACCATTTTCAACAATAGTGGAGAATATGGCAAGGATTCCCAATGCTGATCTCTGTTGTCTAACCAGTTTTTCTTTTTAGATCCATACTTTCTAATGCTAGATTTGGCATTGCCCCCCAAAATGGCTTCTGATCTTCTGAAGTGTAGTTAAGAAGAAAGAGTTATTCACCTCTTGATTTTCTTTATTTTTAACCCCAAAATTATTTCAGCAGTTTCTCTCTCAGAAATATCTAGTTAGAGTCTAAGACTGTCTACACTAGCACTTTAGCTGGTTAAACTTTTGTCCATTAGGGCAATGAAAAGCACTTCCTTAACCAACAGAAATTTCATTAAGAAAAGCATTGATGGGGACAACTCTCCCACCAACAAGCCTACTGCCACTTCTGGGGGGTAGTTTAAGCTACACAAAAAGCTCTCTCCAACCAAAACAGCAGCTACACTGGAAACCTTAGAGCAGCGCAGTTGCACCAATATAGTTGTGTCTCTGTAAGGTCTGTAGTGTAGATATAGCTTAAGATTATAAAAAACCTAATACACAAAAGAATGCAGTGTGTAGCATAGGGCATGCTCAGGGCTGATAGGGTACGTCTACACTAGCCCCCTAGTTAGAACTAGGAAGGCTAATGAGGGTGACTGAAATTGCAAATGAAGCGCGGGATTTAAATATCCCGCGCTTCATGAGCATGTTCCTGGGTGGTCATCATTTTGGAAACTAACTAGCCTGGAATAACTGCCCGTGTCTACATGCGGCAGTGAAACGGGAGTTCGAAGTAAACCCCTTAACTTGAATTAGCTGTTAAACCTCATTCCACGAGGAGTAACAGCTAGTTCAAGTCAGGGGTTTACTTCGAACTCCCGTTTCACTGCCGCATGTAGACACGGGCAGTTATTCCAGGCTAGTTAGTTTCCAAAATGATGACCACCCAGGAACATGCTCATGAAGCGCGGGATATTTAAATCCCGCGCTTCATTTGCAATTTCGGTTGCCCTGATTAGCCTCCCTAGTTCGAACTAGGGGGCTAGTGTAGACATACCCATAGTTATAAGATCTGGGTTTCAACCAATTATAAGGTCAGAGTGATTGGACTGGGGAATCCTATCATGGGAAACAATTTCTGAAAAAGAATGGGGATTCATGGTGGGACACAGTTGAACTCGAGTCCATGGTGCAACAACATGGCTAAAAGAACTAAATTGCAGAGGAATCAAAGAAAAATCATGAGGACGATTAAAAGATTGGAAAACATGTCTTCATAGTGAGAGACTAAAGGAGCTCAAGCTATTTAGTTTAACAAATAGAAGATTAAAAGGTTATTTGATGACCAGTGTTCAAAGATTTTCTAACCATGAGTGAAGTGAGTTTTGGCTTGTGCACCAATATTGAAGTCATGCTAGCTGGTTTGGATGTGTGCTACCATGGCACCCAATTTATTAACACACACACATTCCCAGACGCTGGAGCAGACACCCCCCGCCATGTGGCAGGTCCCATCCCTAGCCCCAGCTGCCAGAACAGGCTCCACCCCTGCCACGTGGAAGCCCCAGCCACTAGGACACACACATACACCCCCACGGCAGCTTCTGACCCCCCCATCTCAGTGGCTCCCTCACCAATTAATCTTAGTCAGCCCTACCCGCCGGAGTAGCCGCCCGCAATGTGAATGCTGCTGTGCAGCTCTCCAGAAGAAGTGAGTGAAGGAAGAATTTTTTTGTGCAGGACTGCACACCTTAGTGGGAACTATGTTGATTACTATCTATAAAAACCTACACAAAGAATAGAAATTTGATAAGCACAAACAAACTAGCACACAAAAGGTGTAAGAATAAGATAGACAAATTCAGACTATAAATGAAGTGCAAAATTAAGTGCAGATAATCAGCTATCACTAGAAACTTTAATATTAGTATTGCTCTTTTTCTGCCAAAGCCTGTGGTGTTCAAAATGAGAGTAGAAATTAGTGAAAGATATTTACTTGATGCAGTGTTGTTTATTTAAAAAAAACTACACAAACATCCTGTTTCTCTAGATACAGAAGAAATAAAACAAGAAACAGCTTCTTTTGCTCACAGCACCAAGGGCATTCTTTTCATGCCACACCTCAACACAAAAACTGCCCCTAGTTTCTTCAGGTCAGCCACCATGCTTCCAGACACACACACACACACAGACAGATACACACACCCTCCTCAATACTCAGCAAAAGCTCCTGGGCCCATTCACACACTCCTTTTCTCTTATTTAGCAAAAGGAACAAGGAGTCCTGTGGCACCTTACTAACAGATGTATTGGAGCATAAGCTATCGTGGGCAAAGACTCACTTTGTCTTAGTTAGCAGTATATGCTCTTAGAGTTATGTTAACTGAAGGATGAATTTACACTTATCAATCTCAATACAGTTTTAACTCAACCCAAAACAAATTTTCATCCAGCTCATAACACAAGATTTTTTCCAGAGGAGATGGTCTAGTTCAGGGGTTTCCAAACTTTTTTCAAAGAGGGCCAGATTTGAAGAAGTGAACATGCGTGAGGGCCATCCCTGCACTCTCAGCCCCAAGGTGGAGGGCCCGCGGGGTCGGAGGCGGGCGGAGAGCGCAGGGCACGCCGGCCTCACGGCGGCCCGGGGGCAGGGCGAACCCGCAGCCGAGCG